ATCCAACCAACCAACAACCAACCACCCATGCAACCAACCAACCATCCAAACAAACAACCACCTTCCCAACCAACCAACCAACCAACCAACCTATAAAACAACCAACAACTCACTCACTCACCCACCCAACCAACAAACCATCCTCCCACCAAACCAACCCTCCAACCAACCAACCAAAAAAAAACACCCATCCAACCCAACAACTAATCAACCAACCACCCATGCAACCAACCAACCAAAAATCCAACCACCCACCCATCAAGCCAACCAACCACTCACTCACCCAACCACCCTCCTACCAATTCAGCCCACCACCCATCCAACCAAACAACCAAAAAAATAATTGAAAAATTCTGTCTCTCAGTGAAGTAAAACAACTACAGTGAGGGATCATAACCTGCTGTGCTTTTCCTTTGATGTGATCACTCTCCTGCCCATGTTTCTGAATAGACCTCATGCTTTAGATCAGGCCTCAGCCGATGACACGACAGACATTTTGTCTTGGAAAGCTGCAGACGTGTCGTCTCCCAGCTTTGTGCCTTACTTTAGATCCTGCGTCTTTATTCTCATTTTTATGAAGAGAGCGAGAGAGAAAGAAAAATCACAATGGGGACAGATGCCAGAACAAGTCAGCTCTTCACTTGATAGTTGCTATGGTAACCTGGGCTCGTGGCAGCTTATGTTTCATCTTCAGATAAATTATGGCAAGCTGTTGAGGGAAGAAAATGTACGTTTTTTTTTCTGAATTAGGTTCTGGCGCATTTTCTTCTTGAGTGTCAGAGCTTTTTTCCCCTGAGCTGGGATGTGACTCACATACAGAACAGACTTTACCTTTTTACTGTCTTTATTACTCTCGTGTAAACGTTTTTGCATCTCACAGAAGCAAAGTCAACTAATTCAGGAGTATTGTACTTGGAGTCAAGGCTTCAAGCATCAAATAAAAATGGTGTATGATTAGAAATACACATCATGATTTAAAACTAATCGTTATGTATTCCAGCATGATAAAGGTATGTTTTAGTCCAATAAAAGAGCAGTATGTTTGTGATAAAGACTTAATAATTTAAAGTTTTCTATTTTTTTCTGCCATTTTAGAAAATAATCAGCAGATCAGTTGATAATAAAAATGTACTCGGTTTACTAAACAAACAAAAGCACAAAATGGCTTACATTTTTAAAATGATGTCCTACAAATTAGCATAAAGGATTTCAATGAATCTAAAATGTGTTTTTAGTTTCTTACATTTCAGGAAACCTGTTTGGCTGTTAATAAATTGTAATGGTAAATAAATGAGGGATAAATTTTAAAGTTCAGGGTATCCAAGTGCACTTTGACATTTCCTACATGGTTCGTCCCCACTCGGACTCAGACGTGCTCTGGCTGATTGTAGACGCCTCCTCAGGGTGAAGTTAGGTGATGTCACCTCTAATAATAGGAACGATAAATTTCACATGTATGTCAGAAAGAGCATCAGATGGTTCTTGCTTGCACAGAGGATTGTGAAAGCCCTTGACAATTTTTATATTCTGTTGTCTTTAGTTTATTTTTATAAGTTTTAAATTACATAAAATACTCTTGATTACTGAAGTTAAAAGGGAGAAAATAGTTACACGGATTAAATTATTTAAAAATATGAAACTGGAAAGTGATGTGTGCATACTGTATGTATTCATTCCTTGTTTTGAAGACCCAACCGTGACCTTCAGAAGCCACATAATTAGTTAACTAAGACCCACCTCTGTGCGATTTAAATGTCAAATCCTCTGTTCACACACCTGTTCAAAATCAACACCTGTTGGGAGTAAGGACTACCACCAAGCAAGAGACAGCATGGACGGAGACAGCAAAGGAACACTACACTCGTTCAGTTTTATTTCAATTCAGTTTCAATTCAGTTTACCGGTATTTATATATCGCTAAGTCACAACAGTCTCAGGGCACTAACAGAAACATTTGTATATAAAAATAATAATTTAACCTATTCATCTGAGAAGCAGACTGCTTAGATTTTAACTCCATCACAGAACTCTCATCTTGAGCATGAAGGCGACAGTGGAAAGGAAAAACACCCTCATGAAGAAGAAACCTTTAGCAGAACCAGGCTCAGGACAAGCGGCCATCTGCTTCGACCAGCTGGGTTTGAGAGGAACAGATACACAATGGCAGGTCCAGAATCACAAGATAGAAATAGTATCAAATGAAAACTATTCAATTTTAATAATTAATTTAAGAAAATTAGGTCAATTTGTCCTTTAGTAGTCTAAGCCTATAGCAGCATAACAAGCCAACCGTAACTATAGGATTTAATCAAAAAGGAAAGTCTTAAAACGGGACAATGTGTCAGCCTCACGGACAGAAACTGGAAGTTGGTTTTACAAGAGAGGAGCCTGAGAACTGAAAGATCTTCTTCCCATTCTGCTTTTGGAAACTCTAGGGACCACAAGTAAGCCTGCAGTCTGAGAGTGAAGTGCGCTTTTAGGAAAATGTGGAAGAATAAGCTCTGTAATATAAGATGGAGTTAGGTTGTTGAGAGCTTTGTACATTAGAAGTAAGATTTTGAATTCATTTCTGGATTTGACAGGGAGCCAGTGGAGAGAAGCTAAAACTGGAGAGAGATGATCTCTCCTAACTCCAGTTAAGACTCTGGCAGCAGCATTTTGGATCAACTGAAGACATTTTAAAGAAGTATTTGGACACCCAGATAATAAACCATTGCAATAGTCCAGTCTAGACGTGACAAATGCATAAACCAGTTTGACCTCTGTGCCGAATCTCATTTATTAAATTCCCTAAAAGTCCCAATTTACAGGATATTATGATCAAACTAAAATCTTTTCTCAATGTTTAAAATAAAACTACTTTTATGTCACGATGTATGTGTATTGTTTATGTTTAGTCTTAAATATCAATGGTAAATGGACTGTACTTATATAACGCCTTTCCATCTTATCAACATACTCAAAGCTCTTTACACTACAATCTGTGCCTCATTGACCCATTCGTACAGCACTCTACTATAACTTTATGACTAATCAGAGCTTTATCACATTCATACACCCATGAGACCCACATCAGAGGCAATGAGGGGTTCAGTGTCTTGCCCAGGGACACTTCGGCAAGTGACTGCTGGTGGAATCAAACCCCCCCCAACTCCTGCATTGGAGGACGACTGTTCTAACCACTCAACCACAGCTGCCCTACATCAAGAAAATATAATTTGACGTGTCAAACCTTGTTTTTTATGCTTTCATTAATTAAAACTAACACCTACGAAATCTGGTGTCCAAAGCATTCTTCTTTCAGCTACACCTTTTAGGAGTCACCACAGCAGGTCACCTGCTTTCATCTTACCCTCTCCTAGCATCCTCCTTTGTCACTCCAACACTCTGCAGGTCCTCCTTCATTCTTCAGTCCTACATTCATTGATTTCATTGTCCCCCGTCGCAGAGCAAAACGGGGGAATTGGAGTTGCACTTCATTTGTCCTTGCATGTTATGAGCATGATAACTTTAAAAATAAGTGAGGTGTTGACTTCTAATTTGGTGTGTGGCTACATGTAGGTGTAGCAAAATCATCAAAAATTGGGTTGCCAAGTCAAAATCTAAAATGGCCACCACCATATAAATGTATTATATGTACATGTTAACTGGCCACTCCTATCATTTGAGGAATTGTGCTTTCTAGTTTTTATGTTGCCTAAAAGCAATTTCCTCAAATGTTTTGGGGTGGCCATAATTAATTGTGGCCTTGGACCCCCTGGCTCTGCGTTGCACCAGGTGATGGATAAACTGCTCCCTCTGTTGACCAGGATCCTGCTGCCTCAGACAAGCCAAAACCTGCCTCTGTTCTTCTCCACAGTGGAACTCCTACCCACTTGAATGTCTTGCTCCAAAAACATTGAGGTCTACTTGCAGTCTTTATTTAATTCCAGTCCAGAAAAACACTTGTCCATAAAACTACAAACATTAACTATTTAAATCCCTCAGAGACTGGGGATATTGGCATACTGCTTGTTTTTAGTCTTTTTCTCCTCATTGGCAGCTCCATATTCAACATCCTTCTACCCAATATGTCCCCTGTCTCTCCTCTGGACGTGTCCATGCACCTCCAGCTTTGTCTCCAGACTGCTCAAGCTGAGCTCATGTGAACATTAATTCTGTAGTTTCTGCTTCATTTATTGCAGGAGTTCTTGAAACACCAGTGGTGACATTTGCTCTTCTTTTGTTTGATTCCAGAACTAATTGTATTTTCATAAGTAGTTCAGATTTAGTTCAAACACACATATTTGAAGCGGTTCAACTGAACTCTATTATAAACCTTTATTTTTAAATTGCTGTCAGTGTTGCGTCATCCATGTGAAAGGCACATTGCCAAATAAAATGTGTTAAGCAAGACATGGCTTTACACAATTGGTTTAAAACACCTCAAAATGAAGCAAACACTGTTTTGTTGGTTTTCATAGCTTTTCTTTTCCATCAGGTAGTGAAAGTGACTTACATCTGGACTGATACTGGACCTCAGACATAAACAGTCTCCTGTGTAAATAACTCTAGACATTTATGTCAGTCACTGTCTAATGAGGATCCGTTTTGGTCGTTCCTCAACTCAGTCATTGTCAGCTCATTGGTCCAATCAGAATTTATCTCTATTCTTCCAAACTGAGGTTGTTAAACGAGCTTTCTACAGGTAAAAGATAAACTGTTCATAACTTTCCACAGAACTACACTTCAAAAGATCTGAACAAGTGATTAACGTCCTGGCCCTCTTCTCATAAAACTTTGTTTTACAGAGTGGTTCACTCGTTTTACTTAAAGTCACTGACAAAACAGTTGTCCAGCGGAGTCTTACAGGTTGTTTCTTTCTTATAATTTAATGCCTAACTACAAAGATTGTTGTGCTAAAAATTATCTATCTGCTATTTATCATCTTTGTGTTTACCCTGCCTATTTAAAAACGGGTGCTGTTTAGCAAATAAAGGATCTTGGATGCTCCTGGTCAAGTTTTGTCCATCTTTATTTTTGTTCTTCACATGTTTGGAAGTTTCTTTTTTTGTACGTAGTCTGTTGCAAAAATATTGGTTCATGAGGCTATGACTAAGGTTCATGAAATATGAAGATCCAGCTGTTTGTTTCTTCTTATTCTCTGTAAAAAAATAAGTTAAGAATTTGTTTAGTACTTTCTAAATGTATACATGAAGCCCCAGCCATTCCCACTTGTCGTGGTGTCTCTGAGCAAGACACCAAATCCCTAATTGCTCCCCGGGTGCTTACATAGCTGCCCACTGCTCCACCTGGGTGTATCCCAGGTGCGATGGGTCGAATGCAGAGAACTAATTTTGCCATTGTATGAGAACATACAATGATAACACATAGCACTTATTATTATTATCATCGTTATTATTATACAATCCGCTCTAAAACCACAATTATAATAATTGTGATTGTCAAAATTATGGTTTTTCTTAAGCAAATTTGTTTTAATGACAGATTCGGTGAGTCAGTTGGAGGACAGGCCTAACTAACTGTTTAAACCCAGCACTTCTAACTAACGACTGGTTAGAGTTTCATCATTTTGTATTTACCAAACAGATTCCCCTTCATTCTAGTACATTATATGATGAGAGAGTTACTTTAATTGTATTTATTATGACATTGGATACTGTTAACACCTCATTAGCCTTTGGCAAAAGGATTCTAGTAGAATTAAGTATTTTGCATGTTCCAAAAGAGCAGATCTCCTCTGGCTGCATCAGCAGGTTCTAATCATGTCCTCCTCACCTCCTCGCAGAAGGCCCACTCCTCCTCGTCCTCTGCTTCCTCTCAGTGGTCTTCATCCTTGGCTGTAAGCCTGGCGCGGTCGCAGAACCACAAAGTCAGCCAGAGTTCTTTGGAGATCGCGGAGGACGATTCTAGTACCAGCCTCCAGGCGGCGCCAGTCCGGCCCGGTCACGGCAGTGCAAGCTCTTCGCGCCTCAGTGGGAGCCTCTCGCTTCAAGCACAGGTGGCTCGAAGCGAGCTGAACGTCCGCCTGCCAAGAGGTATGAAAGGATGATAAGCTGTGGTCTGTATACACCTTCGTGTATCATGGACTCACTGTTGTACACAGAATACGCTGATTCCCATTAGAGCTGTGATTCCTTATGGGGGGTGGGCACTATAGATCTGAGGGGTAGTGAGGCTTTAATAGCACACAGAGAATGTTAATGTGTAATGTGTCAGGAGGAAATTGTGCCTTTTTTTAACCAATGTTTACACATACTTGTGGAAGGAATCACACTTCTACTCTTCCATCGTATCTTGGGTGTGAAGACCTCACACGTCTTGGATGTGAGTTAGAATAAAGGGAAATCAAGTTCCAAGAAAATGACTAAAAGGTTTGGATTGTAGAAGAATAAGCTGTTGGACTCTTGTCACGACGGCTGCCAAGAGGCCTGCATCAACAAGAAGGAGCTGCAAGAAGTTCTGACGAGTACTGGTTGTGTTCCATGTTTGACCACAATCGCCCACATCACTAATATGTCTGACTGTAGGGTAGGAAAGTCCTGTTTTTTATAAAGAAAAACATCCAGACCCAGTTACATATTGCCAAATTAAATGTCTGGGAAAATGTGTCAAGGTTCAGTGATCCCAAAGTTGAAGAGAGAGGGAGAGGGCTCACCATGAGACAGATTTTTAGGACTTTACCAAGAAGGAGGAGTGGGGAAACGGGTTGTAGACCTTTTGGATCTGCTCTGTTGTAACACAGTAACACCCTTTTCCATCGCCTTTCTCTTTGTAAGGTTTTGAGCGACGGCCTTTGAAGCACCCGTCGTGCCCAGATGGAGCAGAAAGGGACAGTGGCACTCCAAAGCCCCCACGCACAGGCACCATCCCCTCCCTGGTGCCCAAACCACCCTCCTATCCTCTGGTCAAACTGGTGGGCAAATTCTACACCCTGAAGTGCCGGTAAGTGACACCAGAAAGAATACTCATGGGTTCTTAACCCTTGAAAATTTGGGACAGTGTCTCTGACAGAATGATCCAACTGGATTTTAAATAGCCTGTCTAATCCTTTCCTTCAGCTGCTGCCAAGATATTCTCCACTTTTCCTAGCTAATGCAGTACTGTGAAAAAAGTCAACCATTGGGATTTTCAAGTAACATTAAAGAGGATTTAAATTCTGATGTGACCGCATTTTAAGACACTGCATTAAACCGTATGGTGCATCTCTGTAGGACACGTTACCAGGGCCACAGCAGATATCTGTCTTTTGGCATAACTCACAATTAATGGTGCCAAATTATATTTGACTATTAATCATCAATTTCTAACATAATTTATAATTTGCTACTTCTACATTAAACCATGCAGCTCAGTTGGGTGTGTTGTGACTTTTGGTATCAGTACGTCAGTTTGTGAAATACTGCAATCCACAGACACAATGATTTTGAAGGAACGAGTCAGAAAATCCAGTCCTTTTTGGAGCTCTAGAGCTCAGACATTGAACTTGTCATGTCTCCTATAAAAATAACTGTAGACACAATGAAAGTGACATGTGACAACCAAATACCTTTGTCACGTACAGTTAGGACTGGGGGATATATCGAATATACTCGATGTATCGAGATTTTTTTCAATTTACGATGCTTAAAATGGCTCTATCGCAACCATCGTGAGTATTATTAGACTTGAAAATCTGTGTACAGTAGTTCTTTTTCTCCTGTCTGCACCTCCAACTTCACCCAGCCCCTCCTCCTCCCTCACTGAATACAAACCCAGCCTCTCACCTGTGCATTCTACCCTCGCTTCCTGCTTCTCCAGGTGGGGGGTTTAATACAAGTAAACACGGGCGACATCAAGAGCAGCTTAGCTGCTGAACAGAACAGAAAACAATGGCTGTTATTTGGAGATGGTTTGGATTTAAATTGTCAGATGAGCAGCAGAAAAATGTTTTTTTGTAGACAATGTCGGACACGAGTCCCAACAAAGGTTAGAACTACGAATCTTTTCACCATTTAAAACAGCGCTATAAGTCAAGTTATACGCTGCAGATCCGAGTGAGTTTTCAGCCTCCTTCCCTGAAACAACCCACGGTATAAAACTCATTTAGCCGTGCTGTGCCTTATTAGAGGAAAAGAGAGCTGGCACATCATTAATAAATCAGCAGCTTATCATAGCGCTAAAGACACGGTCCCACTCTCAGCTGTGGAACAAGACGGCTGAAGTTAGCCATCTTGTTAGCTGCTAAGGACCGTGTCTTTAGCGCTATGATAAGCTGCTGATTTATTAATGTGGCACCACCTTTTCACTGTAAGACTTGAAAATCTGTGTAGTTCTTTTTCTGCCCGTCCAGCTTCACACACACTTACTAACGCTGTGAAAGTGGTGCAGCTGAAGAGATTATAATTTAATATACGTAAAAAGTTTATTTTTTAGACAATTATTTTGTAGTTACAGCAGTTGTTAATAAATGTGCCTGTGTGATAACTGGGACATAGCTTTGACTCAGAAATATATTGTTGATATTACTTTATGGAAAGAAAAATATATTAATTCATTCAACCTTTATTTATACAGATTAGTCTCATTGAGGCTCAGGGACTCGTTTACAAGAGAGACCTGTTTTTAGCAAATAATGATGACAACAGTAGACAATCATAAAAGAAAGCCTATGAATTGAAAAAATCAATAGAAGAAAATGATATTTAAAAAATGAAACGAACAGCTACATTATAAAGCGATGTAAAATACTAAAAACAGGAACTTGTCTGCGTTGGTTTGTGCCATGAACTTAGCAAATGTTTGAATATCGAAATATATATATATATATATATATATATATAGTATATCCCGATTTAGCTTAAAAAATTGTGATATTAATTTTGCTCCATATCGCCCAGCCCTACTTACAGTTAATAAAATCTTTCCTTTAATTTTCACACTGACTCTTCGTTTTAGTCTGTTTTCTGTCTTTTGGAGTGCCATCATGGAATGAGAGGAATATGTGTTGTTACCATGGTGACACTTAACGAGACACTGCCAGCTCTTTACCATTTTTTAAATATTGGTTCTTTAAACACTTCTTAAACAATTTGTTCACCATGACATTAGTCAGCTTAGAATATTACAAACGTAAATCCCAAATTACCGCTGCGTGTTGGAGAAGAAAGTGGATCTGTCTTTGAGTTTCAGTCAGGAGCTACACTGGCACCATTTAATTTATGTTTTCAGATGTGTTCTAGCCCGTTCTTCTTTCTGCCTCAGGTTCTGCGAGGTGGAGTTCCACGGCCCGCTGTCGGTGCAGGAGGACTGGATCAGACACCTCCAGCAGCACATCCTCAAGATGAACTACAAGTCAGCTGCTTCCAAAGCAGCCACCGCTGAGCCCCCGACCTCTGCTGACGACCAAGCCCCGGTCCAGCCCCCTGCACCGACCTCCACCCCTACCTCCAGGACCACCTCCACCCCAACCCGCTCCACAGCTCCCAGCAGCCGCTCCCCCTCGCCTCCGGCTGAGTGCGCTCCTGTCATAACTGCCACAGAGATAGTCCAAGTCCCAGAGGAGCAGCCCGCCATAATCTCAACTCCCATTCCCGTCCCCACCCAGATAGTTTAAGCTCCTGATCGTCCTCCGTCGTAACTCCACCTCGTGTTTGTCCAGAAGCTGTTTGTCCTTTCTTTGACCTTCACTAAGTGTCATTCAGGAGGTCTGTCCTTCATCTAAAGAGCCCTCTGAGCCCCGAGCACCTCTGAAGCAGCTCTGGACTGTTTAGAAGTGTCTTGTTACCATGGGAACGAAACTCTCCGGGCTCATCCGTGGATCTGGGACGGACGATTATAGAAAGTGGCCACGGTTACGAGGAGGGGATTCAAAACGTTTTGTGTTTGCCTTGTTTATACTGAATGTCCAGACATTACTGTACCTCTCCCAGTCAGCGGGAGATTAAGAAGCTAATGAACCCTTTATTAACCGCCCCATCTGCCCCCCCCCAATGAACAAGACTTGTGAGACAGCGACCCGTCAACCAGCCCACTGGTTGCACTGACTTCAGCCTCTCACTCAATGAGATTCAAAGGACGTCTATAATCTTTAGTCTCGAGGCAGAGACTTTAAACGTGTGCTGACACTTAGTGTTTTTAAAAAAGGCACTTTTTAAATTAGACATTTTATCTCTCAGCACTTAATAAAGTGCCATTTCAACGGCTTACGGTGGACCGACCGAGTCCAATTCCAACTGGAGCAAGAAGCCGAAGCACAGCCAGAAACTTTTTAATCTCAACACTGTTCCCCACTTCTCCATGCATTTAGCTTGAATGTAGCGTGAAGCACCTGTTCTCTGAACGGACACAATCACATGTCCGCTGGTTGTGCCTGTTAGCTCCTAGCTGCTGATTATTGAAGACATTTCACTTCCTCCATTCACAGATGCCATTTTCTTCCTGCCTTTTTTATTTAATGTAACCCAAATACTTTGTTTTTTTACGTTACATCTGAATATGGCACGTTAGTCGTTTTAAAAAGCTAAACTATAACTTGGTGTTTGAAAATAGAGGCGTGGGAGTGTGTGTGTGTGTGTGTGTGTGTGTGTGTGTGTGTGTGTGTGTGTGTGTGTGTGTGTGAGTGTGTGTGTGTTGGGTTTTCATAGCAAATGGCTCCTGTTTTTATTAAAGAGAACAGTTGAAGTAAACCTGCTCGATGGAAAGACGCAGTGACGTGGACTCAAGTCACATGACTTGGACTCGAGTCGTTAATATTCTGACTTTAGACTTGACTCTAAAAATGTTCAGAGACTTATGACTTGACTTGGACTTTTACACCAATGACTTGGACTTTGACCTGTTTACTTGAAAAGACTTGATATTTTACCCATAGTCTAAAGTTTTAAACATATTTAAAAAGTGCAGCCCAGGTGCTCACGTACTCTGTATTAACAAACGCAGACCGTCTGTCTTTTCACACTGTACGTGTACTGGAGAAGATTCTCAGTCGTCCAGGACACGGTGAATCCAAAAAAGGTTCAAGACAAAAACAACTGGACTTCTATTCTGTAGCTGAAGACGTTTAACTTCTCATCTGAGGAGCTTTCTCAACTCAAAGAACAGACAGTGTGGAGTTCAGGTTCTAAAGCTCAGGTGTTCTGTAATCTTGCAGGTTGCAGACTGACACATGCAGATTGCTCTTTCTTCACAATAGAGGGTCGTTAGGGTCTTTGTAAGTCTGACTCACAGATGGGCCACCCTGGCCACATAAATGAAGGCAAGGGCGTCAGAAGCATCCGTAGTGTGTGTGTGTGTGTGTGTGGGGGGGGGGGGCACACTGATGTTTGTAGGTGTGTGCACGCTTGCGTGCAAAAACAGTGTACACTAGTGAACAAAACAGCAGCATTTCACCTAGATTTCCTTTAATTCCACACACTTAAAGTATGTTTCTCACCAAGTTTGTGTAAATTCATCTGTTGGTTTTAAAGACATTTAACTTTAATGCACCTGAACACACAGCGTCTCTCACACCTGCAGCGTCTCTCACACCTGCAGCGTCTCTC